TTTGAATTACATTAAAAAATTCAGCAGACTCACTGGAAGCTGATGCTGCATCACTGATCACCAAGTTCAATGAATGAGAACTGCATGGGACAAAAAAAGCTCGAGGGTTCAACTCTCGGATCCGTGTCTGCACTCCTCTGTTCTTTCCTCTCATGTTGGCACCATTATCGTAGCCCTGACCTCTCATGTCAGCAATCGCAATTCCCGTATCTTCCAACTTTTTAAGAAGCACATTTGTCATACCAGCTCCTGTAGTATCACCAATGTCAATAAATTCTAGAAAATGCTCTCTGACAGTCACCATCACAGGGACATTTTCACTAGGTTCTGTTGTTGTTACAAAACGAACCATTAAAGTCATTTGTTCCATATGGCTGACGTCAGGTGTGCAGTCCAGAATAACAGAGTAATATCTTGCTGACTTCAGCTCTGTCACAATCTTCTGTTTGACTTTTGTTGCCAGTAACTGTATGATCTCATTTTGAATTGTTTTTCCAAGGTAATGGTGTGTGTACATTTCTTGGGTGGTGACTCTTCTTAGATGCTCCTGGAATACATCATCAAACTCAGCCATCAGCTCCACAATTTTAAGGAAGTTTCCATTGTTTGGCACATACAGCTGATCTGAAGTGCCACACAGTGCTAGGTTTTGGGTAGCAAGCATTCTCACAATGGCAATGAGCCTTTTCAGAACATTTTGCCAGTAAAGAGATTCTGATGCAATCTTCTCTTGATGCTGATCATCTATGGTGGCCCTTAATCTTAGTCTCATCTCAAGCTCTTTCCACCTATGGAATGCTCTCTGGTGATTTGCTGCCTTCTCATGGCTTGCCAGATTTCTAGCCAGATTTTTCCAGTCCTTTGTTCCTGTAGAACCCAATGTGGCTGGAACATTAGACTGGAAGAGTTTGCAACAAAAACAGTATGCAACATTTTGGGTTTGGGGGTACATAAGCCATGGCCTATCCACTTTATCACCATTGGGGATTTCACGCCAGTAATGTATTGGATGGAAACTTCTATTTTCGTTGTCTTTGGGGAACATGAAGTTTTTCACTTGTTGTGGCCCATGCAGTACAAAGAAGTCCCTCAGGCTACTGCTCAAGTGGGTCCACAGTCCTGGATCATCTAGACTTAAGGAACTAAACTCAGCAGCAGCTGTTTCTTGCACCTTCACCTTACTCTTCTCTGATCTACACTTTTCTTCAGGAATGTGCATGGTTACATCCATTTGAGATGAAGATATGGATGCTGCAGTAGCTGCCAGGTCACCTGCAATCTGATTAACTGGAAGATCAGGCATCTCCTCACCACTCACATCCTCACTGGGACCAGAAGGCTCACCGTGAACATTTGTGTCTACGTATTTCAGGAGTGCTCCTTCCTGCTTAGATAGAAAATCTTCTTTGCTTTCTTTCTTTCTTTTTCTGAATGCTGCCCCAGAGGGGCATTTTTTTCTTTCACTCATGACTGCTGTTCTGTGCCAGCTAGAGTGGCTCTCAACACTCAATTGAAGGGGACAAATAAGCAGGCAGGTAGCAGGGCCTAAGTGAGGGAAGATACCAGCATCTTAAGGGCCTAACTGACTCCTACTACTTCAGTTGACTGCCTGTTCTCCTCAAGTGAGTTCAGGGAAGCAGCAGGAAACAGGGAAACTCCCTGAGAAGCTGGTGTTAATCAGTCCAGGCTCCTGGGGGTGCTAGAGAGGTACATAAGAGGCTTCTCCTCCTCTCTCTCCCTGCAGCTCCTGCTGTTTTCTGTTATTCCCTCTCACCTTTTCTCCTGCCTGCCTGTTATGTCTCTGGTGCCCTTCTTCCTCCAGCACAGCACTCCACCATCTCTGTGCGTCTAGAGCAGAGAGAATACATATGCACCAGCAGCAGACACAATTTTCTACACTCTGGGTACTAATGGTACCTCCCCCCGCCGCCCAGTCTGGCACCTGAGGGGGCCGCCTCAGTTTGCCTCATGGTAAGGCCAGCCCTGATGGCCTATGTTATGCAGGAGATCAGGCTAGATGATTATAAGAGCCCCTTCTGGCTTTAAAATTATTAATCTATCAATGCAATTTCCCGTTATTCTAATTTATCACACGGTTAGCACCAGTACATATGTAATATAAGTAGGATTTATTGGCCAGTGCTAACGTTTTGCTTAAGAAAAAAGGTGTGGAACCTGTAATGAGATCCTTGGTGATTTTAGGAAAAGAATTAGTATTTATAAAAAGGGAGAGTCTGAAGCATTTAATTGTGCATAGTTCTGTGTTCTTTGATCACATTCTCGGTAGTTAACCTCTAGTGCTAAAACAACAAAGACTGACCCTACATTGCTGCCTGGACTCTCTCTGTGTTTTGAGTTAAAGCCTCCCTGTTGAGGGACTTTGCAATATATAGTCGGGGAGGAGACTGTGTACAGTGTATCTCTGTTCCACAGGGGAAAATGTACCTGTGTGAGAGTGGTATGGGATAATGTGTACAGATGTGATCAAGTGTGCAATATGTCTGCAGGTGGGAGATAGGTGGAGGTGAGTGTGGGCTGGGGAGTGTTTGCATGGTATGAATGAATGCCTACAATGTGTATAGGGTCCATATTCTGTGAGGCACAACGGGACCAAATTCTATGGCAACAACCTCTAAACTCCACACAGCCAACGCTAAATTCTGCTGCAACATTCACTTATTTAGTTGCAGCTGCAAGCAGGGAGACCAAAAGGAATTTGTAGGGCACCAGACTGCAGAAAAATGGTGAATTCCATGGCATCTTGAAAAATGCCAAATTCTACAAAAGCAGAATACATATGGCCCAGAGTATTGCCTGTGTGGACACTCCAGGTGTTAGGCAGAGGACTGATTGCATATGTGTGTGGGATGGAGGGAACTCTGCGAGGTGCGGTGTGTTTGAGTTCTTAGTGTGTCTATGGATTTGTGGGCTAGTGTGTGTGCAGTATGTGTGGGGAAGGGTGTATGGGATGGAGTATGCGGGTAGGATGGGCTTGTATAGTGACTGTAAGGGTGTGGAGAGTGTTTATATCGTAGAATGGGGCGATGGGAAGGGCAGTTCTTGCCAGCTGATTACATAAAATTTTCCGTGGAGGGGGCTAATATATGCGAAGCTGTATTAATCACCCAGGCAGACAACATACCAGTCATGGCATGTAATGACCTGTTTGTGCTTCCACAGATCGCCTTCTAATCCAAAAGTAGGACTGAAAATGGAGCCCTTCCATGGCAAAGCCTCTACACACCAAACACCCCCGCGTTTCCAGATGTCCCTCTATGTTCGCAGCGCAACCTTCTACCTGAAAACATCTCGGATTCCCAGGCACTGACTACAGCTGCCAGGAGCGAGCCCCCCGCCCCCCAAGTATTGTCCCTCTCTCCCTCCCTCCTATAGGCTGGCGGAGGTGCCCAAACCCGCATCTCCTGACTCCGCTGTCTCCTCCTCAGCAGCGATTCCGTGCGGCGGGAAGAAGCCCGGTGACAACAATCCCAAGCAGCGGCGGCGGCAGCGTGGATGAAGCGGCGGGGCCGCCTGGCTGGGATTACAGGAGGAAAGGGGGAGCGTGTCCCTTCCCGCCTCTCCCGTCCGGCGAGCTGCGGGGCGCGTGCCGTGGGGGGGCGAGCGCCAGCGGCTGCCGGCTTCAGGGGAATGCGGCACTAGCATCTCCCCCAGACCTCGGAGGCACCACCGCGGCAGCGCGTCCCTCCTCCGCCGCCCGGCCTCCGGAGGGGGCTTCTCTCCTCAGCCTTCCCTTTCGCGGTGCCTCAACTCCGCTATGGTGGCTGCCGCCTTCCGCACGCCGGAGCGGGGCTGCGCGGGCCGGCTGCGGTGCTGAGTGCAAGGGGAGGCAGGTCCCCTCTGGCCGCTGCGGGCTGGGGGCTCTCTCCGCGCCTTGCCGCGGCCGGCTGCGGCGGGCGGACCGGGGGAGGAGGAAGCGCCATTGCCAGGAGGATTATTGCCGGGGGTGCCGGTGCCGAGCGGGCAGCAGAGCCCGGCGTTGCCCGCGCCCATCCCCGCCGCCCTTTGCCTGGCCGGGGGAAGCGGCCACCCAGCGATGCGCCCAGCGTGAGGGAGCCCGCGCCCTCGCCGCCGCCCGCAGCATGCCGCCCTCCCCGAAGAGACCCCGCGCGGCCGCGGCCGCCGCCTGCCCTGCCATGCTGCTGCTGCTCCTGTGCTTGGGCTGGGCGCGGGGGCACTCCCGGGGGGCGGCCGGGCTGCTCCCCAACGCCACCACGCCGATCTCCATCATGGGCTTGATGCCGCTCAGCCAGTCGGAGGAGGACCAGAAGAGCAAGATCGGCCGGGGCGTGCTGCCCGCCGTGCAGCTGGCCATGGATCAGATCCGCAACGAGTCCCTGCTCAACCCCTACTCGCTGGACCTCCGGCTCTATGACACCGAGGTAGGGATGCGGTTCTCCGGCAGCAGCCTCTCAGTGCCAGCCTGCTGCCCCCTCCCCGCGCCTGCCTGGGGTGTGCAGTCCGGGGGATGCGGCAGGTGCTCGGGGAGGGAAGGACATTCCCCCTCCCCCACAGCTCCCAGAGCCCCGGACCTTGGGGCATGCGGACAGGTTGATGCGCAGCTGATTGCTCTCCGCACTTGGCCTGACCCGCGAGCTGTGCTCCGGGCATCAGCCTTGTGTGTCAACATGGAGTGCAAACAGCCGACAGATGTTTAGGGCTGCGAATGGTGTTTTGCCATGGAGCGAGGCTCCGGCGAGATACCCAGGGTGCGGTGGTGGAGAGGCAGGCAGCGGAGCGGACGGGCCATATTGTGCTCTCAGTGACACCAGGGCACGGCCGGACTAGGTCTGCGGGCATCAATGGGCTTGCTCCGCATTTTATAGCGGTGTCGCTGAGAGCAGAATGCGGCCGATACCACCTCTGCTGGCTTGTTGGGGAAGACGGGGGCACGGTGACAAGGTGGGGGCTGGGCCGGGCAGGTGTCTGGGTTGCTAGGTTGTGTGATAGCTTGGGTTTGTTGCCCTTCTTCGTGACATAAGCCTGTAGAAGGATGGGTTTAATTGGTGATTTCTACGTTAAGAACCTCAGGCTGTCTCTCTTTCCCAGTGTGGTTTCGATTTATTAAGCAACAGATGCACGTCAACGGCCTTTGCCCCCCTTCCCTCCCCCCCCCCCCATGAGCTGGCCCTGAGATCCGGATTTATAAAATGTAGCATTTGGATTTGAGTGGAAATTGATGTAGCTGAAGGAAGCACTGTGAGGAGGTGGGAAAAGGAGCTTGTGGGTTTTGTCACATTTCAGCTTTAGCTTGCACGGCCTGAGCGGACAGGGACGTCCTTCCAGAGGTGTATTTGGAGGTTGAATGCAAAGTAAGGATGTGAATACGTCTTCGTCTTCTAGTTCTCGCAGATTTATTCAGCGTAAGCATTACCCTGTTTGATGTAGAGATCTACATCTCCTTGTCCTCACTATCGCATTTGTTACGATTAATAGGTTATGTAGTCGTATCAATTGCGTGTGGTGCGCGCACACACACACACAACCGTTAAGGAATGCAGAGGAATTTCAGGGGTGACAGCATGAATACAGTGTTGTGAATTCAAAGCAGCGGATGTTCGCAAAGAGTTAAATTTGCAGTTTCTCTGTGTTGTGTATATGCCACACATAATTCCTAAAAGCCCTATGTTTCAGATTTGTTTCTTTGAGGCTGGAGTAGGGCATTGGGTAGGAAGCGGTGTCAGATTTGGTACAGGAATTTCTCGTTCTCTTTAATTTATAGAGGGATGTGGGGTTTGGAAAATTATTTTTTTCTGAATTACACTTGATTTTCGTCACAACTTTAATAAACGTGTGTTTGCATTGAATAAATGCTGATTCAATATTGAACCTTTCCTGAAGATGGCAGTCATTTCTTGTGTAATACTGGTGTCTGATATCCATTTCCAAGACAAACCTGGTAAAGCAATTGACTATTGAACATCTTCCCTGTCCTAATTTGTTTTAAGAAAAACCCCTGTTTTCTCCCACTCTGTCCCCAGAATCTGAGAAATAAACTGAAATCATCAAGGATAGGCTGCTTTCATTGTAATATGTCTAATCCAGAAATTATTTAGGGAATCTCTTATTCTGTAGCTCCTGCTTTTTATTTACATAAAACTATATTATCTTTAGCATAGTAATTTTTCAGATCTCTTTAAGGGGAAATGCATATAACTGAAGACAGAAATGCTAAGCAAATATTCTAAGGCAGCATTTTTTGTATTAATGCAAATGATATGTCGAAATAGAATACAGATATGATGAGCCTAAGATAGTCATTAGTTGTCCTTAGAAAATGAATGCCAGTGAACTGTGAAATGATAATGAAAAGAATCATGGGTTTTTTTTCTGAATGGCAATACCTGATTTTATATAAGCACAATATTTGTCAGAAATACTCACAATTTTACTAATTAATTCTTCTCTACATTATCCTATATAAACTGATGACTCCTAAAGATGGTCTTATTATAAAAAATGTGTAAAGAAAAGAAAATAGGCAAACTTGGACAAGATTTCCCCTTTACATATAAGGATCCAATAATACTCAATAAGCTGCTACACTTTTATATAAACCTCAAAACATTTGTCTAGTATGTGTATGTTATTTATTAACACAGAATTTGGTTTCTGAACTAGAAAGCTAACACTAAAAGTATTTAGAAAACAGGTTCTATTTCTCAGTGGTTGAATAACAGTCTTGTTAAAAAACTCCACTTTTACTATTTAATGCTCCAGAGAAATTAAGAAATAGGATCCTGTCATAAACCTGGTATGTAGCTTTGAATTCCCGTTGATTGTTAATAGCAATGACCTGGGGAAACACTGAATATCATCTAGCCCTCAATGATCATAGGATGTTAATTCATCTTAATGTATAGGAGAGTTCATATACAATCCTCTAATAGGTACAGTGTAAAAAAAGTGCAGATTTGATTTTTAGAATGGCTGTGCTTGTTTTAATTGATACACTTTTTTAGGTCCTTCAATTAGTGAAGATAGAATGAGGTTATCTATAGAATTAATTGGGACTGTAATAAATTGACACATGTATGTACCATGTGAACAGGTTAACATTATTTTAATTTTATTAAAATATAAATGGTCTTTTCTGTGTTTAGAAAATGCATAGCATATTTTGATCAGTATTGTGTGCTTAACAGTCACAATTAAATAACTTAGCACTCATGAAAGGTACCAGAATGACAGCATCTGAGAAAAAGTTGTCGGTTTATCCTCTAAATTTTAGTTATGCCAGTGCAGGATTCTTGATACTACTCAGCTGCTGTTTTAATTCTAATGTGGACAAAACGTGAGTGATAGTGTTGTTAAATTACCAGGCCCACTCAGTCCTTGCCCAGCTGCTGAGATTGACAAAAATATGTGGTCTGTTTGTTAGAGCAGGAGACCTACATTCTATTCATGACATAATCACTGACCAGGGAGTGTGCATCTCTTAGGACATAACAGTTGCATACATCACAGTTACAGAGCCATCATAATCTCCTAAAGGGGAAACAGAACATTGAATGCAGGGCTTGATAGTAAGTGAAAGAATCTGATTTTTGAATATATTGAGACATATTATAAGTGCATTTATAATACTTAAGTCTACATATGGTAATGCTTTGGAATCTTAAACATTTTTTATTGTTTTTTTTTTTTACAAAATCCCCCTTGAGACAACTTTGTTTAAGTATTGAAATATATTGTATTTTTTTACAAAGTTGTAATGAAAAGCCCATGAAAAATAATTAAATTAATTCAGGTTGGATTGACATACAGTTTAAAGCATTTATATATTCAGATTTTTTCTGGCAAGTTAAATGAGTATTGTTAATTTACTGCTTGTGATTTCTGTAATATATAAGAATACATTTACTGTAAATGCAATGATTTATATTCAAGTCATTGCCAGGCACTTTCTCAATTAGGCCACAATTCAGGAAAGCAGTGAGTACATATTTAACTTTAAGCATATGATTAACCCCACTCCTCTTAAGCAAAGCACTTAAATATGTTAAAGGTAAGCACATGCTTAAGTCCTTTGCCGAACTGGGGCACATGCCAGATTGGGTTGTGTACTATATTTTCTCAGCAAAATGTGATCAAGCAAATTAATGAAAATGCAAAGGTTGTTTCAAGGGAAATCAAAAGCCTGCTCCTGCTCCAATTTAATGATCCAATCCTGCAAACACTTATGCATGTTTTTAACTTTATGCACATGGGTACCACTACAACTGCTCATGTGAATAATGTTAAGTACAAGTGTAAGTGTTTGTAGGATTGAGGATTAAATGAGTGACCAAACTCCCATTGAGTTTTCAATAGGCTTTGTATACAACTTTTCTTGGCCATGCTAGATTTTGTTGTTTATGTTGTTTTAGAAATGTAGAGCCAAATAAAGTGAGCTGCTGAGTATCTTCTGCTTTCCACGAGCCTGATCCAAAGTCTACTGACTTTAAAGGGCTTTGGATCTGATTTTAGGAGTTGAGAAAACTTGACATGTCTCAGTTCTGGACCAGTAACGAAGGTGTATTTATTCTTTTTTTCTCCCTTTGGTTATACATTCATTCAGCTTCTAGAGTAGAACTTAATTTTGTAGGGAAATAAACAACCCTAACATAAAGGAACTGAGCAGTGTGACAGAGAATGTGGCATATGTCACTAATATTAGTTTCATAGCAAGTGCAAGTTGGTAAGAGGGATTATAGGGAGAGATTTTTCAAAGTCAGAGATTGGAGTCAGGCACCCAACTTCCACTGATTTTTCAATGGGAGTTGAGTGCCTACCTGCCCTTTGTGCCTTTGAGTTTATGAAGCCTCAACACCTATAGCCAAGAATAATGGATGTGCAAGTCAGAATTCAATCATCTTGTCTTTTGAAGATCAAAATTACTTAAAACAGGATTTGGAGTCAAGAAGGTGGGGGATTGTTTCAGAAGTAGGGGGGATTATTATCAGAAAGAGGGGACAATAACATTATACAGAGCTCTGAGATAATTTCATTTTTCCCCAGATACTACACTTAATCTATGAGTACTTTGTGGAAATTCTGACGTAACTCACCCTGTTATGATAATGTTCTTTAACACAAACTGAATCACCAACCAAAGATTTGGAAAACAGGTCTTGGCACAGCAGGCAGATCACTGCAACCAGAAAGGACAATGTCTCATGCTGTTGGTCCAAGAAGGTCTAAGAGAAAAGCTGAATTTCTAAGAACATAATGCATTTTCCCTCTCTTATTCTGTAACTAAGCAGAGAGTACTTTATCTAATCTATTTTATCAACAATTAAAATCTAGATATTTTCTGCACATATCTTTTTGTTTTATTAAAATTTTCTCTCTATTTTCAATAAATTGTTTAATTTTAAGAAGCCTATATCAGTCATAGATT